CCCAGAAGTCCACAAGCTGAGCTGGCTGGCAGCCGCCCACGGCTCCACTCTAGCTCCTGTCGCACCGCACCTTCGGCTCTAGCCGCTCAGTCTCGGCTCTTTCCGCCAGACCGCGCAAAGCCTGCTGGGTCACGCAGCTTTGGCCTCCTTTGCCGACCACGCGCTCGGGACTCCACAGGCTCTCTGCGCCTCCTGCTCCCAGCGATTTGCTGTTTCCGGCCAACACCGCGGCGTTGCCTTCTCCATCGGCACAGGAGTTGCCACAGCCCGCAGGACCCTCCAACGGCTCGCCAACCACCATGGACCCTCAGCAAACAGGTAGCAAGAAGCGTAAAGCCTCCAAGGAGGGCGCGGGGAGCTCTTCGTCGCCAGGCCCCTCCAAGGCGATGGCGGCAGCCGAAGCAGGCCAAACCGAGGCGTCGCTGCTGCTGGTCAAGAGGCCACGGCGGCCCGTGGCTCGCCATTCCTTGGTGCACTACCTGAAGGGCCGGGCGCTGGGCTACGAGGGCCACCCGCGGCTGGCGGGCTTCGAGGGCAACCTGCACAGCTACAGGGCCCTCAGGCTGCCGGAGCTGCTGAGGGAGCGCCAGCTGACACTTGGCCCCCTCAACAAGGTGTTCGCATCGCAGTGGCTAAATGCCAGGCAGGTGGTGTGTGGCACCAAGTGCAACACGCTTTTTGTGGTCGATGTCAAGACTGACCACATCATGCACATCCCTCTGATGCGTGACAGGGTGCTTGACCTCTCTCGTGGCTCGCCCTCCTGTGGCATTCATGCTGTGGAGCTGAATCCCTCCAAGACCCTCATGGCCACTGGAGGAGAAAACCCCAACAGCCTGGCCATCTACCAGCTGCCCACGCTGGACCCTGTGTGCCTAGGAGATTGCCAAGGCCACAGGGACTGGATCTTCGCCATCGCATGGATGAGTGACACTGTGGCTGTGAGTGGTTCCCGCGACGGCACCGTGGCACTCTGGCGGGTGGATCCCGACACGTTCAATGGCAGCATTGCTGGGCATGAGGATGCGGGCCTTCCAGCGTATGCTCACATCCGTCCTACAGATATAGAGGCCTTCCCTAAACCCACTACCAATCCTGGTAACCGCAAAGTTCGAGCCCTTGCATACAGCAACAAAAACCAGGAGCTGGGAGCCGTGTCTCTGGATGGCTACTTCCAACTGTGGAAAGCCCGAAGCTCCCTGTCCAGCCTGCTGTCCCTAAGGCTGCCCTACTGCAGGGAGAACGTGTGTCTCACCTACTGTGACGAGTTGTCCCTCTATGCTGTTGGATCCCAGTCTCACGTTTCATTCCTGGATCTTCGCCAAGGCCAGCCGAACGTCTGGTCAATCTGCTCCCGAGAGGGAGGTACTGGTGTGCGTTCCCTGAGTGTCCACCAGCATATTGTCACCGTGGGAACAGGCCACGGTTCTCTGCTCTTCTGTGACATCCGTGCCCAGAAGTTCCTCGAGGAAAGATCTGCAGCCAGTCCAGACATGTTTCCTGTGCCCTCTGGAAGGAAGCTCAAGCTCACCTGTGGCAGCGGCTGGATCAACCAGAATGATTTCTTAGAGAATTACACTGGTGGTGTAGATTTCCCCAATTCACTCTACACTCACTGCTACAACTGGCCAGAGATGAAGCTCTTCGTGGGTGGGGGCCCAATGGCCTCAGAACTCCATGGCAACTATGCAGGTCTCTGGAGCTAAGGTTAGCTGAACTCACAGTATGCATTTATCTTTCCGGTCAATCTGACTGAATGCTGCCGATTTCGTATTCCACATGCTGTTTTAACTGTTTCTCTCTTCTCTCTCTCTCTCTCTCTCTCTCTCTCTCTCTCTCTCTCTCT